AATATTTGCCAGTTTTTTAAAAGTTTTTTTCACAAATAAAATGTTGACAGCATTAGTTCAGGTCATGATTCAGGAAGCGTAAAAAAGAGATGAACATCTATGCAACTAAGTGCATAGTTAAATGAAAAAACATACATAAAACACGTGTTCATATGGGTATTCTTGGTGGAAGACATTTTTCTCCCTTCTGGAGGATTCTTCATTCAATCTTAACGATCGTTGCAGGTAAAATAAATAAAATGAAGCTCATTAATCTTTAAACCCAGCTTGTCATCCAGTACTGAAGATAGCCAAGCGGAACAGGAACATGACTAACACCAGGGTGGCGGTGGATCAAATCTGGGTGCTGATTATCAAAGGAGACAACCACATGTGCTTCTACAACACAAACATGGGGAACAAGTCTAAATAAAATTATTATAAAAGGTAAAATTTAAAGGAATAAATAAAAGGTACAAACAAATCCCCAAGATGGAAGTAAAAAAAGGTAAATGGGAAATAAGATAGATAAAGATAAGGGTGGAAAAATAAGAACGAACAAAACAAAATGAAAAATCCTCAAGGTAAGTGTAACGTTTTATTTAGTGCACAAACAGTTTTTCCTTTTTTTATATTGAGAGGCAGGAACTGACACGTTTATGCTTTAGAGTTCAGATTTTCAGCGACAGTAGCTGACTGTGGCCACAAGATGACAGTAATGTTAATGCATAGAAACGGGCCAGGAGCTTGGTGACAGTGCTGTGTGATGTGACAGGCTTTGATATGTTTTATTTTATTGTTTTTGCATTTGACAAGACAAACGTTTAAACACATCAGCAGAGTGTCTCTGAAACAACGATAGATTCTGGTTAACTGAAGGCTCAGGCTGCTGATAGCTTCTCATGATGTTTCTTCCTCACTCTCTGTGTTTACACACCTCTCAGCTTTTAATTATGAGTCATTATTAATCTCCGGCTCTCTTCCACAGCACGTCTTTTGTCCTTCCCTCCTTCCCTCACCCACAGC